CCCGTTAAAGGACACCCACCCCACCCCCTCCAGTCCTTTCATAGACATACAACCTAAACAACGTGAGATAGACCGTTTCCCCCCCTCTATAAAACCACGAAGGGAGGAGAGATTGGGAACGGTGTTCTTAATTGCTTATATTATCACTAGCATCATTATTATTATTTAGAAGTAGCCCGTCAGAATGAGAAACCTGGCGGGGACGTTACCTACCTGTGAGGAGGCGGGAGCTTTTTCCAAAAAAATAGACGAAAAGCAAGAGAAGAAGCTGACCGTGCTAGATCCGCTGCCGCCGGCTGAGTGAGAGCGTCCGAGCGCCAGCCCCGCCCCTTTTATACCCAGGGGGCGCTTGGCCCCGCCTCGCCGGCCGAGAAGATCGCCATATATGGAGATCTTTCAGAAACACACGCTCCCATTGGCTGGCGAGGGCCGGGCCACGTGGGGCAGGGGAAGGAGGCAGGGCGACGCCCCCTCCTCCTCCTGCTCTCAGCCCCGGAATCTGTATGGAGGAGGAGAAGAAGAAGGGGGCTGCTGAGGTGTTTTTTTTTTGGGGGGGGGGTGCTGGCTTTGTAGGGGGACCCCCCCACTTCTCTCCTCTCCTTCAGCCCCATTGAGGGCTCCTTTGGTCCAAAGGAGAAGGCACCAAGGCGCTCCAGAGCCCGCACCCCCCTTCCCTAGGGGGGCTTCTGAGGAAGGAGACCAGGGGCCCTCCTCCCACCCAGGTCGACCACACTTGGCCCTCCTTTTCCAGGGCCTGTCCTCCATTTCAGCCTTCCTGTCCGGGAGGAATTCCAAAAGGTCCTCCATTTTGAGCATGACTAAGAAGCATCCAGGTATATCAGTGCTTTTAGCTTTTGTCCGCTCATGTCCTCCCAGTTCTCCCACCACCCCTCAAATGTCCTCCATTTTGGGGTGCCTTGGTTGCCCTCCTTTGCGGGGAGGACGTCTGGACCCCTTGCTCCCAGGGTCACTGTCATCACACATGGGCTCAAATGGCGGAGGTCCTGGAATGTTTCTTCAGACCATTTTAAAACTTTTGAGCCGGAATGTGACGTTCAAGGTGTTTCTAACGGTCGCTGAGGGCTCCCCATGCCCCCTCTGGCCGCCATTTTGTCGCCAGGGCACCCCAAAGCCTGGCTGCGGGTCTAACGCCCACAGGACAATGGTTGGGGAAGGGCACTCTTAAGCCTCCTTCCCCCTCCTCATGGGCAACAGTTTATTTATATTTTTATTTATTTCAAGGGTTAATAGCCCACTTTTCTCCCATAATGAGATTCAGAGATGTGGGGCCTCTACAGGGCATGGTTGCTATGGCCCTACCGGCCATGGGGAGTTCATGTGGCACCTTGGCTCTAGTCATTGGGAGCTGCCCATGTATTGCGGGAATGGGAAAACCTGGAGTTGCACCTCAGCTTCCAAAAGTGTGGGCAGCGGAGGACTGTGGGAGCCTTAGTCCATTGCACTTGGCCAAGGCTTCCCTCCTTTGCTAGGAGGCTTTCAGCAGCCCTTCTTTAAGTCAGGCTTTGTGCCTCCCTCCAGAAGGACCCACAGTGTGAATCTCAGCCTAGGCTTAAGACCATGCCAGTGTGGTAGTGTTCGAATGCTGGACTACGACTCTGGAGACCAGGGTTCAAATTCCTGCTCAGCCATGAAACTCACTGGGTGACCTTGGGCAAGTCACATGCTCTCAGCTGCAGGGGAAGACAGTGGCAAACCTCCTCTGAACAAATCATGCCAAGAAAACCCCAGGATTGCTGTAAGTCGGAAACAAAGGCACACAGCAACAACAACAAATGGGATCCTCAAGGGGCACTCAGCAGGCACTGAGAAAGCATCCCTGGGGAAGCCAATTTGTGTCTGCGTCCATCCCACCATCAAGAGGCCTAAAGTGTATCCCATTCCATTATTGATGCCACCTTATCCTTGGACCTCCATATTGTAACTTCTGTGGGAAAGTTTTCCCTGCTCACTGCCCTCCATAGGGCCATTGTATTGCCAAGTTTTATCTGTGCCCTGTTTTATCTGTCTTATTGCATCTGCAGTGCTGAATGCCACACCTTACCATTTGACTTGCTTAAATGAAGTACAGAGGACTATTATGTTGCTATAGTCACTGCAGTATTGTGTTTTGTATACTGCAAGGTACTGACATTCTTGACACCCTGGTACTTAGGAGTGCTTTAGTGGGCTTTTAGTTCTTGGAGAGTTATAATAACTTTTACGTCACTGCTATACCAGGAGTAAGCAAGTATCAAAAAATTCAGATTGTCCTCCATTTAAGAATGAGAAATGGTTCCCAAACCATTTAAAGAGACAGGCTATAATGTGAAAAAAGCAAAATATATGATACACAGAGCTTTGATTAGCAGTGATCTTACAAAACACAAGCTGTAGCTGGGAACCATTTCAGCTATGGAGAAAAGTCTGGTCCTGTAGGCTGGAGGAAGGGAATGTTTTCCCCCAAGGCCATCTAGGGCACAATGCACTAGACTACATGCAAAGCAGGAGGCTAGTGCTTTAAAGAAGCCTTTACTCACATCTGGTGCTTTCCAAATATTAGACTATAATCCCCATCCTCCCCAACCAATATTAGGGAAGACTGCTTTAAAATATCTTATATATGACTTGGTTCATAGCATCTCTCTAGGATTTACGACTCCCTAAAGTTAAGGAAAACATAATGTATTTCTGCTTTTGAGATTAGCACTTCTAGTTCCAGGGAATCTGAGTAACTTGGCCTGCAAAGATGACCACTAATTTATTAATCAAATAGGGCAGGTCCTAAGATGTTTCATTTTAAACTTTTGAGTCAGAAAGTGATGTTCAAGGTGTTTTTAATGAATGAGGCAGAACAGATCCAACTGGTCCCAGAAGACTCATGTGAGCCATACTGTCCCAGGTATTCTCTTCTTTTAAAATGATAAATATAGAAATGGAGGAAGCCTTGCTGATAGTTTGCTGAAAAGGTTAGCTGTGCCCTTTGGTTGCCAAGTCTCTTCAAGTTCTCTAGAGGACTGGAAAGCCTCACCATGTATGAATAGTCACCCTGCTGAGTTCTGCCTAACAATAGAAACCTCTCTTCAGAGCATTAGAAGTGAAGCACACTTCACCTCCACTGCTTATTCTTTGTGTGGAAGTGGGGAGAGTGGATTCGTCATGCAGTTAGCAAAAACACAGCCTCTTCCCCTCTTCATTTTTCTAAACAGGCAGCTTAGCTGTTGGCAAAAATCAGCTGTATCAGAGAGAGACGAATGGCTTCCTTGATCTGCAGTGTTGCTTGTGATATTAACCAAAAACTCTCAACACAGGTAAAACAGCTGGGCTCTGCCCATCCCTGTTCTCTGCACACACCTAGAATAATAACCAGACCTCGCCTATGAGCAGGTGACTAAGCTCTTCCTTCCCACGGAAGCATAACCTACTTGTCTTCCTAAATTGGGAAGCTGCCTGCCAAGTCAACTGATAGCTAAACTACCAATAACAGAAGGCTGCAATATGAGTAACAACCACTGCATCAATGGAAATCAGACACATCATAAAACCACCATAAGGGAGGAATGAGGATTCATGTGGTATTGACTGTTCCGTTCAGAAGGAATCTTTGCCAGATTATCTTGGATTGTTAAATTTTGGGAAATAATCACATGAGAAGATAAGTGGAGCCATGGTGGATCTAGTCCAGGAGTTCTCACAGTGGTCCATCAGGTGCTTATAGGGAGCCTACCAGCAGGAAGCAGGTGCAAGGGGACCTTCCCATTTCCAGTTCTGTATTCATTGTTACACATAATGATTAGCTTAAAATCACAATTTCATAGGTAAGTGGAAGGGTGCCGACAAACCTATGGTGCCATAAGAAAGTACCCTTCCCAGAATTCCATAGTATTGAGTCAAGGCAGTTAAAGCAGTGTCAACCTGGATTACTTCTGCAGCCATTGACACTTTTCAATTTCCTTTCCTTATATGGCAGTACAAAGTACCAACCACCCTAAGGACATTCCTGAGAATGAGGCGTAGTCTCCTTTTCCTCCTGGTTTATTCAGTCATCCCCATCCTTTATTTACTGCCCTACCTATTAGCACTTGACTCACCTTAAGTGTGGATTGTATTTTTACAACAGAGAACGTTTAGAGAAAGGGGAGATAGGGAGGCTTTAAAAGGAAGAGAAAAAAATACTCTTTATGTTTCAAGATTTCCAGAATTTGTTCTCAAAATGAAATGAGAATTTGCTAGGATTGCTGCTGTCCATTTATTTGCCAGAGATACATATAATTCTACATTGGGACAAGACAAAATTGGCAAGTAAGCGGGATGACACCCCCCCCCCACCAGTTCACAAGTGATTTATTGATTTGATAGCCACCTCCTTTCTGGCCACCTATTGATCATGACTCATGGAAGACCACTTCAAGGTCAAGGAGTCCCAATTCCTTAGCTGAGTTTCAAACCTTTTTTTTTATTTCAATATCCCTTCCTTCTCTTACTCTTTCCCCCATTTCCAACAACAGATGCCAGGCTGAATTGTGAACTGACACATCATTCTAGGAGGGCAAACCGTAGGGGAGAAACAGCTCATGCAACCTAGCTCTTGTGTGCTTGGTGAGACACGCTTTGTTCCTAGTCTATATACTGCAGTGGGGGGAGGAAAAATACTGAAGAATGCTTCAAAAAAAAACAAAAACCCCTCAAAACCCGGAGCCTGTGTCCTCAAGGTTCTTCCAATGATTTACCAAAGGAAGCTCCTTTATAGTTAAGGGGTGGGTGAGTGTCTGTGCAAAGAAGGTGCAAAATGGGGAGATGGGAAGACCCCTTGCTTCTTGCCAGATGCCTCTGGCTCTTTCTTCCTTGCAAACGGTGAGCATTCCTCCCAGATTTTTTTTGTGCTGAAGAGGAGGGTGTGCTTCTTTTGCAAGAGAGAGAGAGTCTGCTGCTGCTGCTGCTGCGCTCTGGTTACTGTATTCTTAGATGCTGGACACACGTGGGAACCCAGTGCTCCTTTCCACGCGCCAGGCTGCCCCACCCAAACCAGGGGAAGAGGCACAAGGGAGGAGGGAGGGGGGCCCTTCATGTGCAAACCGCAGAGGCTGCGCTTTTGTGCTGCTGGTGTTGCGGCTCCCAAGCTTTCCTTTTCGATGGGCTGCTGCTTCTGCTGCCCACGATGGCCGTGGAAGTGGGGAGCAAACGTGTCCCAAAATCTGCATTAGGCATCATATTGGCCGGCTTGCTTGCCTGAGCGGTCACCCTCCTTTTCCCTGACCTGTCCTCCATTTCCACCTCCTGTCTAGGAGGGATTGCAAAAGGTCCTCCCTTCTGAGCAACACTAAGCACGGATTTGTATCTCTAGGAGCTTT